ATGGAGGGCAAACATAGCCTCTATTTTCCCACAAAATTCTGTGAGAAAGTCAGATCACATGGTGAGAGCAATGAAGGGGGGCTAGGAATAAGAAGCTGGGAGATAATTCCATGGGGGAGGAGGGGTCCCTGGCTGATCTTAGACTATGGCCATCTCAGTCAGGGCAGGGTAGCTGACCATGACGGGACCAGCAAGCGGGAGACCTCCTGGCACTGCACTGGTTTTGTCAAAGGTAGAAAATCAACCCCACAGCAAAGTGTATGAGAACAGAAACAACTGCTGAGCAGAAAGTTTTGCTCTGAGGTCTGACTTGTCCTACTGAGCTCATCAAAAAGTTTGCCATATGTCCTGTGGGTATTCAAGAGTGACAAAATAATGTATCCAAATATGCAAGTTACACAAGCCAGGGAAGTCAATTTTTCTCATAGACAGAAAGAAGAGGAGGAAAACAGCAACAGTGGTTAGAGCCAGTCTTACCTCTTTCACAAACAATGTTCTACATACTCTTGAGAAGAATTCTAAGTGATATCCTCTGGAATCATTCAAGTGATTACATCTGCCTTAGAATTCTAAGTGATATTTCAGTAAGATGTAAATCTCGTCTAATGGCCCACAGTATTTAAACCTAGTACTGCAGTCTCTACTTCCTCTCTTGCCATTCACAAGGGATCCAGATGATTTGTCCAAAGTTAGTGAGCTAGTGAGCTGCAAAGCTGAGCCCAGGACTCCCTTACTGATCCCCAGCCATCATTCTTTCTATTACAATGCAATTTGTATAACACTAGTTTAACACCACCGGTTGTCAATAAATTCTCAGCATTCTGTCCCAGTAAGAGGCCAACTGTTTAAATGTTCCATTCTTATTTTGAAGGACAAATAACAAACAGAACAAAACTTTATAAAATGTAACCATATTTGGTTCTTTTGAGTAAATGTGAATATATTAAGAAACACATTATATGGTTTATAAAAATTCACTTTAGCTCTTCCCTGCCTTGTTCCAAAACAGTATCTGGACAGTATACAATAATTTATTTAAAAAAAATTTTTTTGAGATGGAGTCTTGCTCTGTTGGCTAGGCTACAATGCAGTGGCACTATCTGGACTTACTGCAACCTCCACCTCCTGAGTTCAAGCGATTCTTCTGCCTCAGCCTCCTGAGTAGCTGGGATTATAGCTGCCTGCTATCACGCCCAGCTAAGTTTTTTTATTATTAGTAGAGACAGGGTTTCATCATATTGGCCAGGCTGGTCTCCAACTCCTGACTTCAGGTGATCTGCCTGCCTCAGCCTCCCAAAATGCTGGGATTATAGGCATGAGCCACTGCTCCAGCCAGTATCCAATAATTTTAAAGCCACAATATGAAAAACAAACTTGAAGATGTCTTATAGCCAGGTTTGATCTATCCTAGAAGGTAAAGGAAAGGTGGTCTAAGGCCAATGGGTTACACTACTTCTGTCTATTCCCAGCCCACTCTCCTGAGATAACCAAAAGCCTAAACAGTGAATTGGCCTGCCTGAGGTGGAGAGGCTGGCCTTTTCCCCTGATAGCTGCAACTTTACTTAGATTCCTTCGTACCACTCTGGGAAAGGCATGAACTACAAAGTAAAGGAAGAACTATTTTTAAAAAGGAACCACTAAGAATGCTAACATGAAACAAAACTTGGATTCACTCTCAAACTGAGAAGTCAGCGTTCACTTTGCCCACGATTTCGGCAAAAGATAAAGTTGTGAAAAGATTCTTCCCAAATGGCAAACAATGATTTGATACCAGTGATACTTTGGTGTCCAAAAGAAAAAGCAGACATCAGCTTTAATTATTTTGTTGAGCTTTTTTGAATTTATTTTATAGCTTCTAAGCATTAAAATATTTTAAAATTGTACTAATTGAAATCTGCATTTTACCGGACTTGGGGAGCTCTTTCATGTATCAGTTGAGATGCACAGCACATCTTGTTCCCAAACAAAGGACTCAGCAAATATCAGTGATATGCATACATAAAGCAGCCTAAAAGTCACATCCAAATACAATTTGCTATTAATGCCATCATGTGGCAAAATAAATTATAAAAACAACTGCATTGCTACGTATTCTAATTAAAATGCAGAATATATAATATTTCAGCTGGTTACAAAAATGGTGCCAGAGATGCTATGCTTAGGGTCAGGAGACCGTGTCAAACTATGTCTCCCACTTCCAGTCACCCAAGACACCATGGAGGTCTAGTCAACTCTCACAAAGTAGAAACCAGATTGGGGTGAGTCTTTCTATTATATTCAGCTGTTTTCTATCCCTCCAGAGCTTCTTCCCATATAGCTAACTGATTTCTTGGTTTCACTTCAAATTATTCCTGAGCAAAGAAGACCACCACAGGAGAAAGATGAGAATCTATAGACCCGCTGTCCTTGTGAATGATATGCTCCAGGTGCATCAAACAGTTGTTCGCAAACCTAGGAGACATAGGTTGACAGGGTCTCCTGACCCTGACCGTGGCAACTCTGGCACCAATTTTGTAGCTGGCTGAAATAGTATAGATTCTGCATTTTAATTAGGACATTTAGATTTATCTTGGAGAGCCCCATCTAGACCAGTGAAATTCTCTTTCTAGGTGTGGGGCTCAGGTGTTAGTGCTTTGTTTTATAAGCTGCCCCAACATTCTGTAATATGAGTTTTGCAATCTCTCTTTTGGTCTTTTATAACTATATTGTCATTTCAGAAGCTTCCTAGAAATTCACTTCTTCCAAGAAATAAATAAGTACTAAACAATTTTTGCTAAAGGGGGCAGGAGAGGTTAAAGAAAAAGAAAATCCAACCTCATTCTTATGAGACTTGACCAACTTCCCAGCTGCTGGGTCTTGTTTGGTCAACTGGTCAAAGACTGGATTCTCTTTGTTTTACTCAGAGGCATGTTTGCTCTCCATGCTTAAAAGAAAATAAACATTAAGTTAAAAACAATGTTGAGTAAAAGATTATTCAACTGGGATTCACAAAATCTGGATTATGTTTAGCAGTTAATAGTTGTGGGACATGGGACCTTGAACTTAGCTCTCCATGTTTCATTTTCCCATCAGAAAAATGGAACCCTATACTTCCTTCTTCCAAACTCTCTATTAATCTGAATATCTATTTATGATTCATTAATCAAGAAGCCTTAAAGGATGCACTGTTCTTCACATTGCCAAAAATGGTGCGGTAGACTTTCTCCCTATGTACTCACACAAAGACATTAGATTAGGGAGTCCAAATTATAAAATCCTTGCAAGATTAAAAACAGAGAAAATAATTAAAGCAGAGCTGTGGGAAAGATTTACTCAAACTAAAATACCGCAAGGTCTATGGAAGATCAAATGTTTATGATCCTATTCTCTAGAGACTGAAATTCTTGTCTATACCAGATGGTTTTATTTATATAACAAAAGTTCAGCTCTAGTGAGGTGCTGCTTGCAAATTCACACGCAAATAAAAGAAACTGTATTTATGTTTGTACATATCCTTGCTCACAAGAAGGAGTTTCCTCTGTTTTTTTATGGATATTTGAACACATTTTGTATTTATAATGCTAAAGAGAAGGCTCACCTCTTTTTATTTTTTATTTATTTTATTTTATTTTATTTTATTTTTTGAGATAGAGTCTTGCCCTGTCACCCAGGCTGGAATGCAGTAGTGCGATCTCAGCTCACTGCAACCTTTGCCTCCTGGGTTTAAGCAATTCTGCCTCAGCCTCCTAAGTAGCTGGGATTATAGGCACGTGCCACCACGCCTGGCTAATTTTTGTATTTTTAATAGAGATGGGGTCTCACCATGTTGGTCAGCTGGTCTCAAACTCCTGACCTCAAGATTCGCCTGTCTCGTCCTCCCAAAGCAGTGGGATTACAGTTGTGAGCCCCTGCTTACTTCTTTTTAAAAAGGAACAGCAGCCTCCCAGTATAACCAAGTAATCCCCAGAATATAAAATTTAACACTGAAAAGTTTATGACTTTTGTGGATCCACTCTATCCAAGTGCATGACAATATTTAATTCACTCTTCAATGTTCATATTCAGTTATATCTCTTTAAATAGCATCATTGAAAATTGAAAAGAAATCTCAACCCTCTCTCCAAGTAAATGTTTCAAGCTGCATCCTGTGTCAACTCCTGGCACTGAGTCAGCCATGTCAGCCCAATTTAGAGCACATGGCAGTTATCCAACTCATTGTGGCTGTTTGAGGCCCCCAGATCAGGTTTCAAAAAAGAAGGGGCAGCAATCCGGTGACCTTCTCAAGATAGTAGAGAACAACGCTGGTCATGACTGACACCTGATCTTTCTGCTAACATTAGCTTCTAATTAAAGATGGTGCCAAGCTTGTATCCGACACCAGCCCACAAACCTTTCTGCTTTCTGTCCTCCTCCAAGAGATGTGGGCATCCTGTCACCCACTGAGTTTCAGTTTTGGAATGACTATCCCTTTTAGATCCAAGGAAGTTAGGTTGTATTGACATTTGAGATAAAGCTCAAGGCCTTCCTTAATTGAGCTTTCCAGTTATTTATAATGCATACATATTTACTATTCATTGTCTTTACACTTAGTGAGGTTCAATGTGATTCATAATAAAGACATGGTTACAAGATTCTAAAATTAACAACCCCAGAATACTCATATTATAATCAGTAGACGGCATCCACTTGAAAGCTTTTTTTCTGGGCATCTCTCATCCTGTCATCCTTTCTTAAAAATGTATTACTCTTCCTGGGCTTCGTGTCATCCTTCCTCCATACTTCCGCTGGATCTTCAGGACTGGCTCAGGCAAGGCCACAAATTGGCCCCAGTAGGGTCTGCAGAAATAAACTTTACCTTCTAGGCCAGGCTCTATTTTTCTTATTTGACCAAATACTAAGTATCAGTATAAAAACAAAACAAAAAAACAACCTGGCCACTTGCCTAAGTTGTTCCTAAATCAGGAAGCTATTTTTAATGTGAAGAGGCCTTTAGGGAACTCTGTTGTTTTCTCATCCCTTACCTCTTATATAGAAGTCCATGTGAGGCCTGAAGATTCTTGGAGCTCTGGATGTGTCCAAAGTAACTATTGGCTTTGCCCCAGCTCTGAGTTTATACATATATGATTTGAATTAGTCAAGTTCCAAGTTTTCTATACAGAATTTTATCTTCTTTCTATCTCCATAAACAAACAATCTTTGAAGCTAGATAAAACGAGAAAAGAGGATGGAATTATTTCACCCTGCCTTGTTTGTTTCCATGAGGATTCTAACCTAAAGGAAAAGATGAGTCATTCAGTATCATTTCCTATGTGGTGGTTTGGACTCTGTGCTATCTTAGCCAAAAGAGGGCAGCACTCCATGGGTTTTGAATTCACAGGAAGTGAAACTTCAGTTTTTAACTGAACTCCTAAGCAATACATTATACTCTATTACACAGGATAACAGAAATGAATAAGACTGCCTGAAACAAGCAGGAGCAGGAAAGAACAGTTGGGGAGAGCAGTTAAAACATTGCCATGTGTTTGGGAGTGCTAGCATACGTCTGAAAATAAAGAATGGATGAGATTGTGAGGGTTCCTTGATGATCGAGCATTTATTCTTTATTTGAAATGCAATAGGGAGCCTCTCAAGGTTTTTGAACAAGTTAATAATATGACTAGAACTCTGTTTGGGGAAGATATGTGTGTTAGGGATGTAGTAGAGAGGTTGAATCAGGGTGAGACCAAGGAGCACAGGGAAATATGGATAGTAAACTAATAGTAGAGACATCCAAGAAGTGATGAAGATCTAAACCAGAGGGCTGGCAGAGAGAAGGGGAGGTCAGCAACTGCTGAGAGAGACCGGCTAAGTAGGAAAGATGGACTTTAATGGACTTGATATAGGGAGAAAGGGACCAAGATAAACCCAGAGTTTTATATCTGAGACCTGGGAATACGATAGAGCCTTTAACCAAATTAGGAAGAAAGAAAAACTGTTTTGAAGCAAACATAGTGAATTTGGTTCTAAACACATTTTCCCTTCAATGAGAGTGAGATATGACTAAGTTGCCAAGATATAAGGGGTACAAGATAAAAATATAAGAAGGGTATGAATCTAAGGACTACTTTGGAAAGAAGTAGCCCCAAATGCTTACCTGAAAGCCCAGTGCTGATATATGATCCACTGGCAGGTGCAGTGTTGGGCTGTAGTGGCCTGTGTTTCTAAGTCTTCTTGATGTCATCTAACTCTCCTTATTTGTTCCTTTGTTCTAATACTTTTATACTTGTATCTTATGGTAGTGCCACCTCAAATCCTTTTGTGAATAAATTGGAATAAGCAGCAATTAATCGTTCCCGATTATTACATTTTTCTATACAGACTTTAAGATACAGCCATCTTCAGTAAGCACATAGCACTCATATGTAAAATGCAGATCACTAATATTTACTGAAAACTAATATTCTAGGCAGTAAACTAAAAGTTTTATTCACATCATTTCATTTTATATTATGATTAACAAAACAAGATTATGAAGTAATTGTATTATTATCCCTTTTTGCAGATACGGACATTGAAACACAATGAGATTAATACTTATTTGGCCAGGCACAGTCACTCACACCGGTAATCCCAGTACTTTGGGAGACCAAGGTGGGCAGATCACTTGAGATCAGGAGTTCAAGACCTATCTGGCCAACAAGCAGAAACCCTGTCTCTACTAAATACACAAAAATTAGCCAAGCATGGTGGTACACACCTGCGATCTCAGCTACTTGGGAGGCTGAGGTAGGGGCATCAGAATAGCTTGAACACAGGAGGCAGAGGTTGCAGTGAGCTCAGATTGCACCACTGCACTCCAGCCTGTGTGACAGAGGAAGACTCTGTCTCAAAAATAAAAAAACATTGGCCAGGCACAGTGGCTCATGCCTGTACTCACAGCACGTTGGGAGGCCAAGGCAGGCAGATCATGAGGTCAGGAGATCAAGACCATCTCTACTAAAAATACAAGAATTTTCCAGGCATGGTGGGATGCACCTGTAGTCCCAGCTTCTCAGGAGGCTGAGGCAGGAGAATTGCTTGAACCCGGGAGGTAGAGGTTGCTGTAAACCGAGATCATGCCACTGTACTCCAGACAGGGTAACAGAACAAGAGTCTGCCTCAAAAAAAATTAATTTGCAATATAGCAGAACTTATATTATAACCCAGGCAGTCTGACCTCAGCCAGTGTACCTAACCACTATGCCTACTTCCTCTCTGTCCACATTGCCTATCTCATTATACCACCGCATTTTCCTGATTCCTCTGTATATGGCTCATGCTCTACTTTAGGATGCGATTTGTGCATGTTAATAGAACATCGGCTTCTGGAGATGTGTGTTGTCTCCATAGGCAGAGGATAAATTAGTAGGTTTAAGAAAAGGGATGCCACTTCATTTTTCCAAAATTAAATCAAATCTGCCTCTGAACCCCTACACATCAGGGTAGATGAGTGACAGTTCAATACTGGTAATATGGGAGACTCAGTTCCTCCTCCCATGACATCATCCAAGAATGCTGGACTTACGAGATGCCAAGAAAAAAATGGGAGGGAGAAGCCAAGGGGCTACGTTTACCCTTTTTGTCATCCAATTTGCCTGATAGTAGGTAGGCTCAGAAGGGCTGCTCAATAGTGTTCTTTTATCTGTTCATGAATTCGACCACTGAAGTCCTCATCAATGATTCAGTGCCACAGTTCTTGGAGTCCAGTCTTCCTGTACACTTAACTATTACATGACTCTGGCACTACTGGCAACAGAGGCCCACTCAGATTATCTCAATTTTAGGAATGCTCATTACTCTCTCCCCTAGATAAGGCCATTCTCCTCCACCTCCCAGCCTTGAGAATCTTCCCTTTCCTAAAAAGTCTGGCTTCAGACTTTAGAAAACAATTTTTGTCTAATTAAATTGTCATTGAGGTAAATGAAACCCAGATCTCTAAGACACAAAATCTTCTCAGTATGGGAGAGAAAAAAACATAGCTCTTTTACTATTGACTCCTTTACATTAGCTTGAATGAAAAATATTGATATATATTATTCTGCCACTTAACTATAGTGGAAAAGGAAAAATTAAAGAGATGAATTAATACTAAAAGTGTCTTGTCTTCTTTTGTAGTCAGAAGTTAATCCTGGTGTGGCTAATATATTTCATCTAGCCTGATGACTCATTGCTTAGTAGAATCTGCCTGAAACAGAACATTGAGAAATAGTTTAAGGTCTTGACTGGGTTTGACAGAAAGGGGCTTGCCATTAGTATAGGCAAGGGAAATGCAGGGCAACATCCTACATATTTTCAATTCTAGTTTAAACATAAACTACTTTGCTTACTAAGCAAACTGATCTAGTCCTAAGTACCATAACTATGGGGAAAAGAGACCTATTTGAAAAGAGAAACACTGTAATATACATAATAATCACCTATAAAGAGTTTCTGTAAAAGAGTCCCACACCCAGGTAGTGTAGTCCAACAGCTCTAATAGCTAGGAATATATACTATTAATAAAATGTCCTTAGGAAATCATGTCACCACTTGTCCAATGACCACAATTTGAGAAACACTCCTATGGAGAAAGAGTCCTATTTGTTCATCTCCATCTGCCCTACTGCCTTTTAACAGCCAGCTGAAGACTTCCAACCTAAGCTCATTCATCCCTGGGCCTATCCTAACCTATTTAGCAGGATGGTGCCAAGCCTCAATCTTGATGTTCTAAAGCTAAAGCTCATGGACTGTTACACATTCCTGTGTCTTTGACAACCATCAATGCATTCATGACTATGAAGTCTATGGCTTTAGCCCTTGCTGTTTCTTGAGATCCAGATCAACATATTTAATTGCCTATAGATAGGTCCACAAAGACCACAAACTTAACAAGTCAGAAACTAAACGGAACTCATCATTTCCTAATATACTCCCCCAAACAACATCCTGATTCTTTCTCTATCATCCATTTTAGTAAGTGACATAATTATTAACCTGATTTCTCAAGACCAAAAGAAATAAAAAACCAAAAGAACTTGGAGTCATGTTAAGAGTCCTACTACTTCAAATCTTACATCTAGAGTTTCAAATCTGAGGAAACGTAGATCACAAACCCTTGAATTATTGCTGCTGTTCGCTGAGAGAGGGAGAAAGAGAGAGAGAGGATATACAACCTCAGTAGGACTGTCATCTCCAATCTAAGCTATTGCGGTAATTACCTAGTTGGTCTCCACAAGGCAATGATACATGTTTACACAGTGCGTGCTCTGCATAGTCCCTGCATTTAACTTTGTTGATGAAGTAACCATTTATATTGTAAGCATTATAGACTTTTATATTTTTGTAAAAATTTTCTCACTTTTCAGTAAAAGGTCTGTTGTAATTGTTTATACAAATATTTTCCAAACAATGAAAAAGCAACTTAAGAGGGTACCCTTCTCTGATTCATACAGAAGTTCTACATGGGCCATCAGCAGCCTTGGGTTTCCCTGATTCTAGACTATCTCTCTAAGCTTTTCTGCCATAATAATCTTTCTAAGTGCAAACTTTATTGTGATTTTTCTTCAGTAAAGTACAAAGATCTGCATATCTGCTGCAGCCTACCTGCTGATGTGAACTCCCTATGCTTCAGCCATCCTGAACTTCTTAAATTACTCATATGTATCATTGCACATATTCCACACATGCAATTCTCTCAGCTATTAATTCCAATCTACTTCATCCCCACTGCATTCTATCTGAAAAATTTCTAATCTTCCTTCTAGTTTAGCACAAGTGTTTCCTTCTTTGATGGCTCTTTGCTCCCTCCTTCTCTGCCCTAGAAAAGCCAACTATTGAGGGGAAGACTCAAGACGGCACTGTGAGAACAACCCAGCATTGAAGCTCTTGGTGCATGCACGGAGAGGGTGAGTCAGGGCCGCATTTCCAGATGGATCTTTGTTGCCCACAGAACGGGGAAACTCCAAAGTGTAAGGGAGACACGGGACGCCAGGCAGTAAGTCTGCCTGGCGAAGCCGGCAGCCGGGGTGGCGGTGGCCGGCCCTACCCAGCAATCCCCATAGGGCGCACTTGTCCTGGTGCCCTGTTGAACCGGCAACCTGAGACTTGAGAGGGCTGGACTTGAGACTGAACGAGACTTGGACAGTAGGCCAGCCCAGGGGATTGCAGGGACAGAGCATTCGAGGTACCCAGTGGGATGAACAAAACCGCGATTTCAAACTATCCCGAGCAGATGGTCCGAGACGCTCTGTGGGGGAGGGGCGTCCACCACTACCGAGACAACCCGCCCCAACTGAGATACACGCCCACTGCTGACGCAGCCTCCCGTTGCCGAGGCAACCTGTCCCTGAGATACATGCCCACTGCTGATGCAGCCTGCTGTTGCCGAGGCAACATGCTACAACGAACAGACTCCGCCATACGGTGGGCAGAGACCACAGCAAACCTGCAGGAACAGGGCGAATCACACAACAGCAGGGCGGAGACTCGGCAGGCAAACAGTGGCTAGTCTGCCTCCTAGCTGGGCAGGACACCCTAACGGACATCAAAAAATAAAGCCCAAACCCCCCAACACAGAGCATTTGAGAAAAAAAGGGTTTTTTTAATGAGCTCTGTTGCAGCAGAATCAAACATAGCAGCCTAACAGCCCTGAATGAACAACAGAGCTCACAGCTCAGAAATTGAGCTCCTAAAAAGAACAAACTGTCTCCTCAAGCAGCTCCCTGACCCCTCTATATCCAAAAGACTGACATTTGGCAGGCATCACCCTGGGACAAAGATAGCAGAAAAAGAAACTGGTAGCATCCCTCACTGTGCCACAGCTGCTATAGGTGCACCCCAGACAAGCAGGGCCTGGAGCGGACCTCAGCAGTCGTACAGCGAAGGGGCTAGGCTGGTAGAAGGAAAACCAAGTAACAGAAATACTTCATCATCAACAATCTGGGTGTCCACTCAGAGACCCAATCGAAAAGTCAGCAACTACGCAGACGACAAGTGGATAAACCCACAAAGATGGGAAGAAACCAGCGAAAAAAGGAGGAAAACACCCAAAACCAGAACACCTCGCCTCCTAGAAAGGACCAAAACTCCTCACCAGCAAGGGAACAAAGCTGGACGGAGAATGACTGTGACGAAATGACGGAATTAGACTTCAGAAGGTGGATAATGAGAAACTTTTGTGAGCTAAAAGAACATGTATTAAATCAATGCAAAGAAACTAAGGAACTTAACAAAAGATATGAGGAAATGATAACAAGAATGGATAACTTAGAGAGGAATATGAATGAATTAAAGGAG